ATAATCTTACATTTACAGAAGATTTGTAAAGATAGTACAGACTTTTCATATACTAACTACTCGGTTTCTTCTACTATTACCTTATATGACCATAGTACAGTGATCAAAAGTTAAGAAATTAACACTGGTGCACTATTATTAACTAAATTACATTTTATTCCAATTTTACCACATTTTCACTAATATTCTTTTTCTGTTTCTGTGCCCAATACAGCATTAGCTGTGTTCCTTAGCCTCTTTTAACCCCAGACAGTCCTACTGCTTATTATTGCCTTTCATTATAATCTTTTAATTCTTATTTTTTGCAGTGCTGGGACAAGTGCTCTACCACTGAGATGCACCACCAGCCCTTCACAATGTTCTTTTTCTTGAGGCATGCCTCACTACGTGGTCTGGTCTGGCCTTGAACTCACGATGCAGTCAACAGTGGCCTCAAATTTACAGCGATCCTCCTGCCTCAGTCTCCGGAGTGCTGGGATTACAGGTGTGCACCACCACGCCTGAGTATAACATTCTTGAGGAATGCCTATCAGGTGTTTAATAACAAACTCCACAGTTTGCATTTGTTTGGTGTGTTCTCATGATCAGAATGTGGTTAGGAATTAATAGGAAAGATTTTGCAGAGGTCAGGTGCTCCTGAGTTGCTCTTCGAGTGCATTGTGTCAGGAGTCCCTGTCAGTAGGTCTTGTCCTGGGTGATGTTGCCCCTGATTACTTGGTTAAAGTGATGTCTACTGTGGTTTTTAATTATTGTAAAGTTACTTTCTCTTTGTAAATAAATAAAAAAAACACTTAGGGAGAAACACTTTGAGGCTATCTAATGTCATTGCTCCATAAAGATTTTTCTTTTTTTTTTTTTTGTACCAGGGATCGAACTCAGGTCCTTGCACTTGTGAGGCAGGAGGTGGAACCACTGAGCTAAATCCCTGCTGCTCCATAAAGTTTTGCTCACTAATTTAAGCATGCATAGGATGATGCTCCATGCAAGAATTTTTACCAATGTTATGGCGTTCTGACGATTTTCTGTTTCCTCCTTTTCTTTTACATTTACAAATAGCAATTTTTCTTTAGGAGTTGTCTTTTCTCCACTGTTTTTTCAATTACTTATTTATGTCCTTATAAACTTCTTTTATTTTCATTCCAGTGCCTTATTTTGTCGCTGAACTTGTTCCAGCTTTGGCTGTTAAGAGCTTTCAGAGGCTGACTCCCGCATCTTTTCACTGTGTGTCCCTCATTATTGGGGCAGGCGTATTTTCTTCTATAAATCAGAAGGTACTATACTCATCTTGGATATCTCTGCCCTAGACCAAGACTCAATCACTTTTCCAATGAGCTGTGTGGATGTTTTAAACCACAGTGGTGCGTAGTTCAAAACCCTCTACTCTCATCCACAGGGTGAGAATAAAATCAGAAGAAATTGCAAGGACCTAAGGAGAAGTCCAGACTTCAGAGTCTCAGCAGAGAAGGGGTTGGGAGCCAATGAAGGGAAAGGAGAAGGAGCTATCCAAGACATGAGAGGAAACAGAGCACAGGGTGGAGAAGTCCAGAGAAGACAGCGCTCAGCTGGAACTCCAGGGTACCCCTTGGAGGCTCTTACCTGATCCTGGCTACCTTTGTCTCACTGTTTCCTCATGGGGAAAGCTGGGAGCCAGGTATCCTTATTGTCCTGGGCCAACCAAATCCCTGACTTTGGTAGACACAGCCTCAACTCACATTCAGCCTACCCACTTTAGACCTTCACCTCTCCTCCCACACTCATACCTCATCAGCTTTCCGGACAGGGCCAGGTGCTGTTTCTTCAATCTTTTCCCAAAATGCCAGCCTACATCCATCCTTTCCTGTTGTGAACACCATGGTTTTCATCTTTCCAATTTAGTACTTGGATTATATTCATTTTAGAAACCTATCTATTTGTTTCATATCATTTATTAGCAGTACTGTAGTTCCTTCAGATCAGAGACCATATTACAAACTCTCTGGTTAATAATATGTAACTAGTAATAGAAATTTAATACATACATTTCAGTTTAGGGTGCATATCAACAAATCAACCACTATAGTCATCAAAGCAATAGCTGCATACTGGGAAGATTCCAGGAATTATCTTATCTATGCGAGAATGTTAAAACCTCCTTAAAATACAAAGTTGGAATAGCTATGCAAATGGTTCATGACTTTGGTGGTTTTCCAAGAAAATGTAACCTTGAGTCAGAACCATTATTTCCCACCAGAAAATAATTCAACAGGATAGTCACAGATTATCTCTTAATTAAGTAAGTCACTATAATATTTCACAGGACAATTTCTTGCTTTGTTTTAGAAAACTACCTGGCCTATTTCTGTTTCTATGTTCAACTACCTGTTTTAAAATTATTAGTATATAGAGCAATTGAATTTCAAAGGACAATGGGAGCATATTAATGAAATTCATTTTTTTAAAAATCAGTTTTCTTATTAAGAATATAATGCTTATTAGTTGAAAAGTCAAGAAGTTGTAGATAAGCAAAAAGAAAATAATCCCAACACTTAAAACCAGATACTGTTAACATTTTATTGTATTACATACTATATGCATGTTTAAAAATGTGTGCATGTGTATGTGTGTATGAGACGATTTTATACACAGTTTATTTTGTAACTTACTATTTTGGCTTTCTATTTAGTATATTACTTTGTTTGCTTGTTTGTTTGTTCTTTGAGACAGGGTCTCACTATGTAGTTGAGACTGACCCGGAACTCACTATGTAGCCCAGGCTGGTCTTGAACTCACAGAGATCCTCCTGCCTCAGCCTCCCGAGTGCTGGGATTACAGCCGTGTGCCACCACGCCCTGCTCTCCTTACATTATTAACATTATGAAATATTTGTGTTATTATCCATGGTAATGAAAGGAATTTTCGATTATCAATTTATTAGTGTTATGTCTGAAGATTAAGGTATGTCCAAATTTCCTCCGATATATGTTACACTGAGATGAATAATCTTATGCTTAAATGTTTATGGTTTTTTTTTTTTTTTTTTTGATACCAGGGATAGAATTTGGGACCTTGCATCTGTGAGGTGGAAGGTGGCACCACTGAGCTAGGGGGAGGGCAATTCTATGCTTAATTGTGACTGGTAATTATTTCCTTAGCACAAATTCTTATATCTGAATATCTATGTATAAAGAGTTTGATGCAAATTTTTTCATTGAACATCGTCCACCTTCCCACCATAAAGGTTGTATCAATCTATTATCCTAATCATTGGTGGTTAAAGCAATTTTTTTTTTTTTTTTTTTTTTTTTTGATACTGGGGATCAAACTCAGGATCTTGTGCTTGCACGGCAGGTGCAGTGGCACTGAGCTAAATCCCCGGCTCTGGTTAAAGCAGTTTTCAAACAATGTATCATTTTTACATTTTTAAAGGAATCACACAGCCCACTAAAGAGTCTCCAAAAAGATGATAAAATAAAGCTATATTCACTTTTTTATATTATGGAAATATTCTTTTCTCCTACGATGTTTATTAAGTTTTAAAATTTATAAAAATGCAAAACAACATGCATTATTTAGCGGGGGTTACCAAAAAAAAGCAAAAAGTTGTCTGAAGTAATGTAGTCCAAGGGACCATGGCTGCAGCTAAGAACAATAATGTGATTTATTAATCAGGGTCCTATTTATAAATTTCTTCTTAAGAACAGTTATTTTTAAGCAAGTTTTCCTGTTTTCTTTGTATTAATAGTGTATCTGACTTAAACAATATTTTACTTTATTTGAGATTTCCCAATTTTTCTTTAAAAAAGAATCAAGACGAGGCAACATTGTCACATGCAAAAAGTTATGACTGAGAGATTGTTGGTAGATTTAAAATAGGAATAATGACTTTTCCCAGTAAAAATGTGATCACTGGTTATTTATTTGTATTTGTACTTACCTATATACTCAGCTTTACACAAACAATTCAAGACAGCATAATTTACATTTTAAATGACAGAACAACAAATAAAACAATAGGCCATAACTATTATTTTAAACAGACCAAGTCCAAGAAAAATAGAAATACAAATATGTAGACATATTAGCAGTGCTTAAATTTCAAAGTTGGTTTCACGAATTACTTATTATTTGAGACATAAGTCTTTACTGCTATGCTGTGAATACATACTGGGCTTACTTCATGTAAAACATTAATATGACAATTTAAAACTGTGTAATTATTAATTAATATTTATTTCAAGAAAAATACGAAGTTGAGTTCTTAAAAGAAACAAGTAGCTGATATGTATATTTTCTCATTTCTACAGATAAAAAACAGAAGAACAATGCAGTTAAGACAACTTTCAAACAAGTTTTCAAACAATACGTATCAGGCTATAGTTTTTAAAAAGTTGGACCAGGGATTTAGCTCAGTGGTTCTGTCACCTACCTTGTAAACACAAGGATCTGAGTTTGATCCCCAGTACCAAAAATAAAAAAAATTAAAAAGTAGCCACTTTCACAATCGAAGATATAGAGGATAAAAATCAACCTATTTTTTTCTGCTTGCCTAATATCAATTATGAGTGACTGAATCTACAAGTGTGCTTTAAATTGAGTAACTCTTTAAACTAATACTATATTCTTAAAAGGAGATGAAGTTGGCATCTAGGAAAAAAGAAATATTTTGGTGGCCCCCAAAGAGTCGTCAAGAAAGCCAAAGATTTCATAAGCAGTCTGTCTGACAGTGGCAGCAGCACAATGAAAAACTATTACTAATAAGACAGTGCCCACCAGGATGCAGGGATCTGCACATACAATCTCATCTTGTTATCTGTCATATTTTTAATATTTTCTGCAAGTTGCACAATATATATTTGGTAAAACAAGCAATGCTGCTTCTTAAGCAAAGAAATACAAGGTTAAAAAAACTAATAAGAGCCAGGCGTGGTGGTGCACGACTGTAATCCCAACACTTGGGAGGCTGAGGCAGGAGGATCATTGTGAGTTCGAGACTAGCCTGGGCTCCATAGTGAGTTCCAGGTCAGTCTCAACAACATGGTGAGACCTTGTCTCAAACCCCTCCCCACAAAAAACTAATAAGTAGTTAGCAAAATCAGGTCTACTTGGTCAAGACCATCACATATTAATAAATCACATATAGGATTGCCAGTGTTGCCTATCTGTCTACAGAGCTTGCCAGGGAGCAAGACTAGGGTTTCTACAAAAACAATGCGCAGCTTAGATGCTAAGACAATTTCTCTAAAAATGCATGCTGTAAAATGCTTTTCTAGTTGCAATTTTTGGAAGTTTTTTGTTTTATAGATCAAGAATATCCACTGAAAAAATGATGTATTATTTCCCAGAAACCATAACCATTAGAAACTTTTGGAGTAAGGTACAGATTCATATAAATTAACACTCTACAACTCAGGAATTCTGAGAGCATAGTTCCTCCTTTATAGAAACTTGAATTTTCCTCTCTAGGGAAGGATATAACTAGATATAGTGATTCTTGTTACAATTTAAAACTAAACTTTGAAAGCAGCTGCACCTAGACCCTGAATGCCTGGGTAGCCCACCTTTCACTCCGTTCCATCTCAATGTGAATAATCAATGTGAATTAATCAGGTTTTGATTAATGTGTTTCTTCTTTGTTAACATGTTCATTTTGTTTCTAGTCTCATCCGAGTACATACTGTACACACTGTTTATTTCTTTTCTCTTTCTTTCTTTCTTTTTTAGGTCTCTGGCCAGGAAGTGCTTTCCTTTTGCTGACTGCACAGAGGGGAGAGGAGGTGCCTTAGGAAGGGCTCTAAACACCTGCCATTCGCAGAACAGCAGCCTGGCATCATCTTGTTAGAAAAATCAAAATATTGGGACCTGTCCCAAACTTTCTGAATCTGAATCTGCCTTGACATAAGATCCTCCAGGGGTGCAAATGCAAATCAAAGTTTAGGCAGCACTGTCTTGTAGCAACTTCAGTCTTCCGTGTTCAAGTATTTTCTTCCTGGCTATTACCCCCCATGCAGAAGGACATGCGGCTATGTGAACACTGACCCATTTTCAGACATGAAAGAGAGAGGAGGCTTTTAGTTTACTTTCATCTACTTCTGGTGTATATGGCCACCTGTATTTTCTGGAGACATACACCCTCACTCAAGGGGATTAGGGCTGTTACAGCGAGGCTGTAAAGAAAAAAGGAAAGAAAGAGTTAAGGTTCAGCCTAAATAGAATATTTTAGTCTTCAAAAAGATTTGTGAAAGACTTGAAAGCCAAGATTATAAGAAAGGGCCTTTCTTTTTATATAGGACCCACTAAGATGCCCAGGCTAGCCTTAAATTTGCAATCCCCGTACCTCAGCCTTCTCAGTAGGTGGTATTACATGTGTGCGTCATCAAAAACAAAAACTGTTTCTACCATTTCTGGCTTTCCCTCTATTCTATCACAAAGTAGATGGAGGCAGATCCTAATTTTTTTCATAGAGCAGATACTATGGTTTCAGTTTCCCCTATCTGCTCCACACATCCGAACTCCCTCCTCCCTGCCACTTTATGACATCTAGGCAGGTACAGGGGAGTGGTGGTGGGAAACCTATGGCATTGTTGAAAGCACTAAATCGTTCGTCAATGCTGGTATGGGGGAATGGAGGCCTCGGCTATGGCTCATTTTCCCAGATGCAGGCCCTAGGCAGTAGTGTGACAGTAAATGTTTAACAATTCCCTTGGGGTGGGTGTAGGTAAGGAGGGTGGAGCCCTGATGTGTAATGTTTGCCAAATCCTCTGATGCAAATACTCCCACCCTGGCTGAAATCAAGCTGCCAAAGTGACCTCACTGAAAGTAGAGTAGGGAAGAGACGCATGGTGGTATACCACTATGTAGTATTTCCAGACACACAGTAGTAAAATGTAGAACAATAAATGGGAAGTGATGATTTTTGAATGTTAATTAGCTCTCTTTTAAATATAAAATTTTTTTAAAATTTAAATTTGTCTAATTTAATTTTTAATAATGGCTATGTTTGACAACTGGCTGGAAAAATTCCTGAAAAATGAAGTCGGCTAAGGAATAGCTCTGCATTCAGCAGCTTCCAGAAAATTTCTCCTTTGGCCCTGAACCATTCTGCCTGGTCCTGAGGTATCATCCAGCACCTAGAAAGTGCTCCTGAACCATCACGGCTTTGTGTGCGAAGTGGGGCTCCAGGGGTTCCTCATTTCCCCACGAAGAGTGAGGGTGACGGCCAGAGCTCCAGGGGAGCACAGGTCCTGGGACCTCTCTGACGCAAGAGGAAATGTTCAGGACTGTGGCAGGAATGAACGGTAAGGGCCGGCACAGATCAGGCGGAATTTGATTACATTTCAGGGGTCCCAATTCCAGGGAGAAGATGATTTCAGAGGGTTGTGCAGGATTCCCAGATGCCACAGGATCCCAGACCCCCATCACACAACGGGATGCTACATGGGCATTGAGAACAGCAACAGGGAGGGAGGGGATCTGAGAAAGGCATCCAAAACAATATTACTCAAAGTAGTCCAAGGGTCAGTGCCAGTTCCCAAAATGCTACTGGTCTAGGCGAGATAAATGATGTTGAGACATTTTATTTCAGATTAATATTGCCATGACATCCTAGTGTTTGAGCAGTGGACTCCTGCTGAACAGGCTATAGACCAGTTTAGGTGTACTGAACTGGCAAGGTGAGTTGCTTGTGGCAGAAACTAAACACTGGTCATGTGATGACTATATTTGGTTGATAATAGACGGGAAAGATCAATCAGTTGGAAGCCATTCATCTAAAGACATTTTAAAATCATCACCTTTGGATGGAAATTACACTCTGCTTAGTCTGAATCAGAAGTTCTCAAAGTGTGGTTTGTGGACCAATAAAAGCACTATTATCTGAGAACTCATTAGAAATGTAAATTCTATGGCTCTACTCCACATGTACTAAATCAGGAACCCTAAGAAGGGGAGTAGGCCCAGCAATTTGTGTTTTAACAAGTCTTCCAAGTGACTCTGATGCATGTTCAAATTTAAGAGCCACTAGATTAAATTTATCAAATGCTTAAAGTTTACTTTAAGGTTTTTGTTCAAGATGGAGGAGAATGAAATAGCACTACATGTAAATTATCCACGCTAGACTGAAAAACTGGAGCCCAGGGAGAAGGTAAGACTAGATAAAGAAAAAGAAAGAAAACTACACTTTGTACATTTGAATGATACGCAAGTAAGCAAGGCAAGATAAGATGGTACTACGGAACACTTTCAGGCAGTATTATTTTTTTTTTTCCTCTACAAATTTACCCCTACTGCTTGTGGCTCCACATTTCCAAGCATAAACCATTTCCCAGCGCACATCAGACTAGGGCTGGTGAGAACAGAATCACGGTAGTAGTAACAGAAGAGCAGTTCTCTAACTATGCTCACCACACATTTGCTGGGCTTCTGGCTTTCCTTACGTTCTGCACAGCCGCTCCTATTAACAGTTCAGGAAGCCCACTCCTGACTAATTTGTGTCATCCTTCCTTCTTTTTCTCTACCTTGGCTATTCTCCATTCCCCAGCCTAGGCGACTTAGTGCCTCAGTTTTTGAGTCTCTACATCAAAATAAAAAGTAGCTCAATGTTAAGGGCCCAGGTTCAAGCTCTGGTCTGGGAAAAAAAAAAAAAAAAAAAAAAAAGCATAGGTTGCTGGCCCCACCCTGAGATTCAGACTTAGCAGATCTGAGTAGAGAACAGGAGAAGGATTTTGCATTTCTGACCAGTTTCTACGTGACACTGATTTTGCTGATTCATAGACCATGGTGACCAATCAGCCCCATTTCAGTCTCAACGCCCAGCTCTAGTTCGTGTGTCCAAGAGCTGTTTCCTGTTTCTGCGGCACGCCTTCCTACCCCATGCCTTTGCTTCATTCATTTACTCACTCACTCGTGGATTCAGTGAGTGGCTCATTATTTCATCAACACTTTTTAAAGCCCCAAAGGACTGGCTCTATCAAATGCCATCATGAGGTCTACGATAAAAGGAAGGAATGGAAACGATATCTTTCTCCTCTACAGAGCGCTTCCACACGCGGAGTCCTGGAGGGCTGACAGGGCGGGGATTACTTTACACCTCTCACAAGTGAAGAGACTTACGGCCAGGGAGAAGCAGCTCATCCAGAGTAGCGTCAAACCAGCCGATGTTTTCCCACCCAGTCACCCAACTTCAGTCTTGGCTCAGTGTATTTTCTCTTTGCTGTCCAAATTATATATTTTCTCTAAAGACTAAATATTGCTTCCCCCATGAAACTCCCCTGGTAATCCTGGTTAAAATAATTTTTCCTGCTTACACTACTTTATTTTGTCTTTCTGTTGGCTGCTTTATAACCTCCCTTTCTAGATTCCAGCTTCCTTGAGAACTGAACCAATACCTGCCTCTCCGTTTTGTTTCCCACTGCACCATTCTGAGTTTATAATAGAAACCAAAAAAAGTGCTGAGAAATCAAAGAGGAAGTGCTAAAATTTTCAAGTCATTAGTTTTATTCATAAAATATTTAATGAAGGATATATTTAAAGATAAAAGCAGAGTTTGCATTACCCCTTTTCTCTCTTTAAAAAAATGGAGGTGGGGAAGACTAGCATTAATTAAGTGCTTACTGTGTGCCAAGTGCTTTATATTATTAAATTTTCCCCTTATAACCTACTAGATAAATACTACAGTTCAGATTTCCGAGTGGAGGTTCTAAAGCCCAAAACTATTTAGCAACTTAGCCCAGAGACACTGAAGGCATGTTGGAAAAGGAAAGTCCAATTCCATTTAACATCATATGGCAACATGAAGTCACATCTAATTATATTCTGACAATAAGAACGTATCCATTACCTGTCCGTATAAGAAATTAATTCATATTCCTATGTGAATATACTTATAATAATCTTGAGATCACCTTTTACTAACGTTTCTCACCTTGGTACTACTGCCTATCACTGATTCCCCATTGCATGTCAAATCCTTTACTCCATTCTTTCAAGAAGGGAAAGGAATTTCAATATTTCCATACACTTTTTTGGTTCTTCATGTGACCAGTTATCACTGGTTCTGAAATGCTGGCCTGAGACTGAGATGATGAATCTGTCTTAACAAGTGGAATTGTGTCATGGCAGAAAGTGCCTGTTAGAAAACAGTGTGAAAGGCTGGGGGACATTGTGGACGGCTACAGGTACGCCCTCCCCGCAGTGCTTCACGGACAATCTTCACAGGAATAAAAATTGAAGGAAAAAATGGAACCCTCAGTCATTACAGCAATGTATTAAACAGTTACCTTATGATAGAACTGAGAACTATTAAGGACTTTAACCAAACTGCCAGCAGATAGATTCGACAGTGGCAGATAAGGAACAGGCAGCATAGTGAAGTGGTGGACTCACCTAGGAGAATTCACAGGAGAGTTCTGCAGCTCAACTCAACAGGACAGAGACCCGTGACATCCTGAAAAACAAACACATAGCGGAGGGTGACCATTCTCACAAAACCTTGAAATAACAATGTGTATCCCTTCCTCTTACAGGGGTTGCAATGCTCCATCTGGGTAACACCTATTAGTTTAGTTGACAGGAATTATTACAAGGTGTTGTCATTTCATTAGCCTTTAAGACAGCTCATCATAAATACTGGCTTTAAAACATTTTAAAATACCTATAATTTTTTTCTTTTTTTCAGATTTACAGGGCCTCTGGAGTGAACAAGATCTATGATACAGAACACAGGGTTAGGACACCAGAGGGAATCCTAAGCTAGTACTCCTAAGCTAACTACATTTTGGATTTTTTTTTTTTTTTTGGTACGGGATATCAAACTCAGGATCTTGCACTTGTGAGGTGACAGCACCACTGAGCTAAATCCTGGCCCATTTTTACAATTTTTCCAAATGTATTTGATCTGTCAGGTGAGGATTTAAAAAAAAAAGTTTTAAAGCACCTTTTTCAGCCCCCCTGGGAGGGTCAGTCAAGGAAAAGTGAATTCATAGCAAATGTCCTACTTCTTAAATAGCTTTCTATTGTCAGCCTGTCATATCAGGGAGATGGTGAAAAGTCTACAGATGGGTCCAGTCGAAGTAGGTATTTCCTCTAATTTACTACGGATGATGCTAATCACTGGCTTTGATGGGCAGGTTCAGTCACTCACATGTGTGTGCTCAGGCATGAGAAATGAGCAGGGAGCCTGGGCTTCTTTTGGATTTTTTCTTTTTCTTTTCAGACAGGGCCTTTCTTTGTAGTTCAGGCCAGCCTTGAACTCACTCACTGTGTAGCCCAGGCTGGCCTTGAACTCATAGTGATCCTCCTGCCTCAGCCTCTGGAGTGCTGGGATTACAGGCGTGTGCCACCACACCCGGCTTAGCCTGGGTTTCTTGAACATAAAAAATACGTCACAAATATGATTTCTGTAACTATTTCTTAGAAAAAGTTCAAAAGCAACACTTCAACCAATGGTGGATTGGTTCCTAGAAACCTCTGAACTGGGGAATTCATAGTAAAGACAAATTAAAAATACATATATAGAAACAAAGCTGTTGCTAATGAGCACGTCTGAGCGCCAGGTGGGGGTGGGGGTCACTTTGCCTGGTTACCAAGGAGATCCAAAACAATGAGTGCTTGAAAAGCAGTGATAACAACAAAATAACTTTTGCTTGCATATTTTCTGAGTGCCAGAGGATGTTCTAAGTAACATTTTAACACAGATTTAGTTCTCACAATCACCTTTATTGGGTAGTTACCATCATAATCCTCATTTTACAGTATTTACTTAGAAACAAACAATTACTTGCCCAAGGTCACATACCTAGTAGGTGACAGCACAGACAGTCTGGCTCCTGCCTGCTGTTGCTCAGGGTACTCTACTCCTTTTTAAGGTATAATGTTTTTCTAAAATAAGAAATGCATATTACTAAAATGTTGAGAAAATGAGAAAAGAAAATATAGTTCTCCTAACCTCATATAATTAGTCTGAGATACTTCCACATTTTATACATATTTCTCAATTTGTAGCTCTATGATTTTGATTTTTTTTCTCTTTACATCATAAGTGTTTAGAATGTTGTGGGTTTTTTTTTTTTTTTTTCATTTTTATTTTTTGGATACCTGGGATTGAACTCAGAACCTCACACTTGCAAAGCAGGCGCTGTGCTGCTGAGCTAAATCCCTGGCTCTAGAATGTTCATTTTAAATACCTGCAAAATATTACATGGACTGGGTATACTGTGTTTACTTACAAGGGTAGAGCTGCTAGCTATTTTAGACTGTTTCCAAAGCCTGGAGCAGGTCAACACGAAGGGAGCCAGAGAGCCCAGTTCAAATCCTTGTTCCTTTACTCACAAGCTAAATCATCTTGAGCAAGCGATTTGACCTCTCAATGTTTTAGTTTTTTTAATCTGGAAAATAAGTGCAGTAATACTAATTACCACCTAGAGTTGTGAGGGTTAAATGAAATAAGGCACTGAAAACACTGCAGGGAGTCACCACCATCATAAATAATATGATGTATTCTCAGAGATAAGAGCACCAGGTCAAAAGACATAAAGCATTTTTTGTTCAAACAGTTGATTGATGTTGCTAAAGTATTTCCAAAAAATGTTACATAGATTTATATATCAAGTTATACAAGCAGCAACCATTTTTCCTTTTTAGAAGCTATTTTTCAATGCACTAAACCTTCTTCTGCTTTGTTGCTTTGTCTTTTGGCTCACTGACATGTCCTTTAACTTTATCGTTTGATTTCCATGTGTTTAATAGTTACCATTAATAATTAAACATTTATTATTCAACATTCTTAATTTATAATCACAGATATGTTAAAGTCTGCTACTCCTATACCTGGATCTCTTCTAGGTCTCCTTTTGGATATTTTAGCCTGTTCTCAGCATGTACTGAAAACTAAAGACTGTATGGAAAATTGTAGAGATAAATTGAGTCTCTGGAAGATCCTACCTTCGTCGAGTGACATTTTACTTTAGCGTCTTACAGTTAGCAACGTAGGTAAGATCTCTAGGATTCCCTGCTTTTTCACCTCTCTTCAATGCCTTTAAAGAAGTGTTTGCTAGATTTTATTCAGCATATCCACTTATTCTTGGAGAGTGAGTTAATCTAAATGTAATAACTAGGAGTTTAAGTCCTTGACATTAATTTTTAAGTAATTGATTAAACCTAAATGTTATTTTGTTTAGCATATATTTATTTGATTGTAATTAAGGGTGGATATTTTCTGCTACATTTGCAGATATGTTTCATCTTTTGTGAAATGTGATTCTATTCTTATCCCATGTACTGGTCAATAATTTTTTTTTTTTTTTTTTTTTTTTTGGTACTAGAAATTGAACTCGGACCCTTGAGCTTGCGAAGCAGGCAGCAGAACCACTGAGCCAAATTCCCAGTCCTGATGCAATTCTATTCTTATCTCATACACTGGCTATTGAATTTAATAAGTATATGTAACAATTCTATTAACCCTTTCTGTTATTATGTTCAAATAACTGCACCTAGGCAACTGTTTGATTGTATTATTGTTCTTTAAATACAATCAAATGTGTTTTATTGTTCACTTTGCAATTTGTTGCAACATTCCAAGCTTATAAAATAGGCCCTTCAACTTTCTACAGTTTGAGTTTTAGAAATTTATTTTGTGTGGACAAACATAAAATTTTTTTTGCAAATTAATCAGAACATTTTTTTTTCTTACTGTTGTGTGTTTTAAGACAGGGTCTTGCTAACCCAGTATAGGCTGGTCTTGAACTCAAGGTTATCCTGCCCCAGCCTCTCAAGTGTTGGGATTTCAGGCATGTACCACCAAACCCAGCAATCAGTATATTGCAAAAATTTTCTGATTGTTTTGTGATTGTCATTGTCAAACATTCCATTCATATATAAAATTTATTTTGACCACATACTTTGCCTCATTGATGTATTTGATTGCCAGTATCACATGTTTTTTGTTACCGGGGATTGAACTCGGGTCCTTGCGCTTGCGAGGCAGGCCACCGAACCGCTGAGCTAAATCCCCGGCCCCTCACATGGTTTTAATAATCTTTATAATAAACTTTAAAATATGAAAGTCTCTATCATTCTTCTCAGATTGAGTTTTGCTATTCTTGCCTCTTAAGATTTATGATAAAATAATGGTCTCTTCAACATTACCTCAAATATATATTTTAAAAAGAGAGAATATTGTTGGAGTTTCATTACATATTTTTGAAAGGGTTAACTACAAAAAATATTGTGTTAAACTATAAACCAGTGTTCTGATTAATATTATTATAGTTCTCAAACTTTTGTTTATATGGTTCACATATTTCTGACTAAGACCAGTTACAAAGTTTTCTATTCAGTATCTTCTTGCTCTGTTAAACCAATCTCTTTTTAAAGGCCATGTTTGAGTTGAAAGTAACTGTTTTCAGGAATACTGTTGATGTATGTCAACGTTCATGTCTTCTAATATTGTACTAACTCATTACATGTATTCATATCTTCATTGATTCCTTTGGGATTTCAAACTATGAAAGTATTTTTCCACTACATAATCATAGGTTGTATCTGTTTTCTCCTCTTTATAGGTCTTCCTTTTTGGTCTATTTCATTACATTGATCATGACTCTTTAAATACTATTAAGTTACATTATTGGGACAAAGCTGTTATAGCAATTTCACCAATTTTAAACATGAACATTTGTAAAAATTTTACATCAATTTTAATGTTGATAATTAGTATAAAATATTTATTATCATGGTGAGGAAATATTTTGTTTTTCCTATTTGTACCATTTTATCAGGAAGAGGAATTACATTTTATTTAATGCTTTTTAAATCTATTGAATTAATTACTTCATTTTTTTCATTGACTATTAAATATTTCATGTATTACAAGTGGTAAATGCCTGTAATCCCAGCACCCAGAAGGCTGAAGCAGAAGGATAGCAAATTTGAACCCAGCCTGGGCAATTTAATGACTTTAATACCTTGTTTCCAAAAAATGAAAATAAAAAATTAAAAGGCAGCTGGGTATGTAGCTGAGGGTAAATGGTCTGGTTTGTCTCCCCAGTACAAGAAAGAAGAAGGAAGGAAGGGAGGGAGGGAGAGGAAGAGAACAAAAGGAAAGGAAAAGAAAAACTATTAGTATTTCTAATTTTGTAAACTTCTATATTGGCTTGAATACATACTCTTTATGTGGTAAGTTCTATTTACATTAAATAAATAGAATAAATTATTATTTGTTTAAAGTTATGGGTCAAGTGATCATTTTGTGCCATTGTTCTTTCATTGGTCTTAACACAATTAAGGATTATACAATCATCCCTTTTGTTTACTATATCCCAACAAAAATTCTGCTTTACTTAATATTTATATTGTCATATCTGATTTGGATGTGATGTTAGGCTGAAAAAGAATCTCTGCTATTAAAAAACGCTTCTGTGTCATTCTGACTCTTTTAAGCAACACTAAGTCATTAGACTTTAATTTTAATTTAGTCTAAAGACCTTCACATTTGAATAGGAAAATTTAATCCATTTATACTTGTCATAATTTTTAAGCTTGATTAGACTTATTTTATAGTTTTTTTCAATAGTTCTTCAGGGTCTTCTTTTATCTTGTGCTTCTCATGGACTTTTATTTTATTTTTTATCTTCTAATGAAGAAAACAGATATCCTACTTCCAGTTCAATGAGTGTTTCCATGAAATTATTAACTACTCTAAAATATGTTTTATCTAAAGCAACAACTAAAGCTTTTGTTTGCTTCCTCTCCTCTTTCCACATTGTGATTATAGATTACTAAAATTTTATCTTTTTTATTATATTGACTTTATTATTATATATTTATTATACTGCTTTCTTAGTTTAAAAAAAAAAAACTACTCAGCCACCAGCATCAATTCTTTATTCACATTGATTTTGGATAATTACTCATTTATTAACCTTCACCTTCAATTCTTAGCACTAGTTTGTTAAAATTTCCCATTTTTGGGTTTTTAACACACACACACACACACACACACACACACACACACACCCCGGTAACAATGTCTGGACAATGTCTTTCTGCAATTTGTGCAGAAATGACTCTTGGTTGTTATGCTTTCTGATGCTTGGAATATTTAAAGTTTTATACTATTGCCTTTACAAATCAACCAATAAGTATACAACATGAGGGATAGAACTGGTTTCTCTTAAAATTATGTGGAAATTTAACCTGAAGTCTTGCTCTTCATAGGAAATGTGAGGGCAAATGACAAAAGCATGTATGTTTTTCTTCACATATACATGTGAACATTTTCTTTTTCCTAAAAATTAAAAAACTTACTAGTTTAGGACAGGTATTTCTTTCTTAATTTTAATCTACAGAAATCTTACAATTTTGATGCAGTTTTTACATATGGACAGTTTCCTTCTGTTCTAATTCTAACTTTTTCTTCAGATTCATCTGCTGTATTTTTAGGGCAGCATATTATTTTACTCGTAAATTCAAGATACATTCATTTACTACTAATAGTATATACTATGAGTGAAGCCTTCAGTTAGGAGAAGGAGTACAATAATAAGATTTGTATTGCCTTTCAGGACTTTACATTCTAAGCTGGAATACCTATAATTTGCCTATTCACTTTATCTTTTATCCTTTTTGTTTATTTTCTTAGGTATTCCTCACATACATTTTCCCCCTCTGTATCTCTTTTTATTTCTGCAAAACAGAAAATTTACCAGCTACATTTTCCTACCCAGTCAAGATCTATTATTTTTACCTGTTCTTGTTTAATTAAAAATAATAAAAGTCTCTCCTGCTATGTTGTTATCATCAAATTCCTAAGAAAGGTCAAATTATCAGAAGTTACTATAAAAACAAATTTTTAAGAGGGAAAGGGGTTAGAGATTAACGAGCTTCAAATGCACAATAATAAGATTTTTTTTCACTATAGTAGTCTCAAAGATAAATGTGTTTTATATCTCTAAATGCTTTTAATTCAAATTACAAGTAATAAATTTATCTATCAAAACCAGTAAATTAGTCTTAAACATTACTGATTAAATAATGTAATAAAATATAAAGCAAGAGCAATTCTTAGACAAGGAATTTCTAGGACCATAAAATCAATTATACTATAGTTTCCATCTGTCCACAGTAAAAACGATAATACTAATTGAGCAAGCAGCCATTTCAACAAATCTATTCCAACATTGTCTGTCTGTCTGTCTGTCGATCTGGGGGCAATTTTATTTCAACACAAATAGTTCTGGTTCTAAACATGCCATCACATTAAAACTATTAATAGCAAGAACAATGTGAATGATTTATCTTAATGTACCTATAGTGTTATCTCTAATTCCACCTATAAAGTGGATCAATTCTCTTAAGGAAGCGACTACAGTTTTCAGGCCACTTCATG